TTAGAGTCACTTATCTAGAACTAGTGGCAAAAATGTTTTTCAACCTATAGGTATTTCTGTATTAAAACTCTATGAACCTTATTTCTCTTTAAAAATTTTAAGTAAAATGAGATAAAGGGAAGAAAAATTCAATATATTGAACACCGTAAAATTACACAATGTGATAGACTCAAATACTACGGGGCTTATAGGTTGGAAAAGTTTGTCAGTTAGCTCTGAGAACTATGAGTACATTTCAGTCTCTTTTATGCTTTTGTACATTTTCCAAATTTTCTACAATGAACATGTATCACTTTTATAACTAAAAAACCCCCCAAAACCCTGTAAAATCTATTTTATCCATCCCACCTACTTTCTTATACTACATTCCTTCAACCTGACCTAAAATTTTAATTCTCCCAACAAAGAGACCTCCCCCCTTTCTAGTATCACTACAAAACCAGATGCCATCTTCTAATCTTCCATAACACGGATAAAATATTGTGCTATAAATGTAGATATACCATATTTTGCCATATCTAATGTGCTTCCATATACAATGTATACCCATGCTTTTGTGTGCATTACACACAGAATTGATTATACACATGGCGTGTAATCATTATACCCATGTATAACGCGCAGCCTCATTTTTCCCTCAAAAATTTGGGCAAAAAAGTATATATTATACACGGCAAAATACAATAATATAAGTATTGCACAAATCCATTTTGAACTTGCCAAGGGAATATTTTTGAGACAAGAGATTAAAAATGTAAATTAAAGAAGATGAAAGAATTTTCTTTTGTCAATGGTTATAATCAACTTTCTTAGAACAGCCAAGACATTTCTCATCCTAGGTAACAAACGGAGACTCCTTATCAATGAGAAACTCAAAGCTTGATTATCTATAAGCTTAAAATTTTAAAGCAAGGTTTATCTTATGTATAGTCTACAGAGAAATATAAAATATTTTGGAAGGTTTAATGCAAACATTTAACAACTTTCATTAGAAAGAATAATTTTTAAATGAAGAAAACCTGAAAAAAGGATACTGATACTGTAATTCTTTGTAGAATATCCCACCTTATTCATAGTAATAAAAACACTGCTAAATTATAGACTACAAATAGAATGTGGAAATCATCTTTTCTCGTTATAGAGAAACCTAACAAGAAATATAAATTTTATACTAAAGTTAATGCTCATTAATTACATTTTTGGCCAATTTGTAGTAAGTTTACATATGTACTACATTGGAATACAAAACATTTACGGGTCCAAAGAACTGTGGCGGCTTAAGGAACAGTCTAGCGGCAAACTCAGATTTACAATGTAACTACAAACAATTTGCAGAACATCCCTGAACTTAATTTCCTGATCTGTAATAAAAAATAACACCAACCACTTTATCGGATTGTTGTAAAGAATAAGGTGTATAGGGTACCAAAACAATGTCTGACATACAACAAATAATCAACAGATTTTATTTGTATTCTCCTGAAAAGTGAAAACCACACCTTGTCATCTTTACATACTTCAATTTAGTTTTAGTAGGTACTCTCAGTGTTTCTTGAAATGAATCCCTATAATTTTTTAAGGCTAACTACTTCAAGCTTTCACTTGAGCAAGTCACATCTACATAAATAAATTCTGCTGAGAATAGAATTTTATATTCCCAACACTTTATCAGGCATTTTGATGAAGATGAATCTCCTTTAATGGACAAGGTAACCTTATTATAGTATGTTACTCAACATTTGGGTCTGCATTTACAAAATTAACCAACATTTTCAGTTTGAGGTTCTTTGTATCGTTTTCATTAATCCAGTTTCTTGAAAATAAACTTTAATTTCTGCGGCTTCACAAAAGTATCTCATTAAGTTTCCCACTACATTTCAAATAAAAAATAAAGAGAATGGGACCCAAGAAGTTTATTATAAAAGATAAAAGTTAGAAATTGTCAACTAATTTTGTATTTTTAAATAGCCTATTTTAATTTTTACTACAGCAAAGCAATATTCTTCCTTACACTTTGAAGTGTATTCTTCCTTACACTCTAGCCTTCAGTTTATGTGTACTTTAAACATTACTCCACAGAAATATTACAGTAATTAACAAAATAAAGTACTGTGGTTTTAGATTTTCTTCTTTTGTCTTTCCACAACCAAAGTTATTAATAGTCCAATTCCAGCTCAAGTAGTTAAGTATTTCAAATTCTGCAATATAATTTGAAAATGATTTTAAAATGTCGGATATAGGCCCTGGCTGGTGAAGCTCAGTGGACTGAGTGTGGGCCTGCGAACCACATGATCGCGGTTCAATTCCCAGTCAGGGCACATGCCTGGGTTGCAAGCCAGTTCCCAGCAGGGGTCGCACAAGAGGCATGATCGGGGTTCAATTCCCAGTCAGGGCACATGCCTGGGTTGCAGGCCAGTTCCCAGCAGGGGTCGCACAAGAGGCATGATCGGGGTTTAATTCCCAGTCAGGGCACATGCCTGGGTTGCAGGCCAGTTCCCAGCAGGGGACACACGAGAGGCAACCATACATTGATGTTTCTCTCTCTCCTTCCTTTCCCCTCTAAAGATAAATAAATTTTTTTAAATGTCGAATATATATTTCTAAATATCAACTTTATTATAAGTAGGTAACATGTAACTTTCACAGTGAAACAAGTATTCCTGAGACAAGATATGGCAAAAGTTTTTAGCAACTAAACATGTCTTAAAACTTGTGATGTAAATTACTATTTAAAATACTTAAAAGAGTTTGGCAGAGAAGGATTAATAACTTTATACTACACAATTTTTTAATCTAAATAAATTCAAACTTAGAAGATTTTAAAAAAATGAGTCTACTAGCAAGTCTGATAAATATTTGGTTACTATATTCTAGTTTCTTGACCCAGTGAAATAATAAAATGTTTGAATAGATAGATATGCTTGGTGAGGCAAATTTTATCACCATTTATGTTAAGTGCAAATATAAATATATTCTTAATTATTTTAATAAACATGATAAAGTTCAAATGCAATAGCTGTTATTAGAAATGGGAGTCAAATACCCTAAGAAAAATGTCCTGGATGTATATGACAACCTATAAGGTAACATTTAACAAAAACTATTCTTTTTCTGGAGAGGATTACATTTTATATTATTTAAAAGTCTAATTTTAGTTGTTTCCTTACATTGGTCTCATGTTTTAGTCATATTTAAAACTCTATTCCTCCAACTTGCTTCCTTATTATTGTCCAAACTGATCTTATTAAAAGTCCACAAATACTATATTTTAATACACATGAAAATGTTTTCAGGTCCAGTGCCAAAGTAAGACTTTTATGTCAATGTAAGTCTTTTATGTCAACTTTCTATAAAATACAAATAAAGATGCTAAATACTTTATAATTCTGAAGTCACGCCATTCAAAAAAATGCTCCTGTCATTTTCACGGCTTTTTCAGAATCAGAGCATGATTTTCATATCTTAAGACTAGGCAATGAAATGCATTTCTAATTGTACCTCAAACAAACTTCATTTTAAATGCTTGTGTAAATCAATAAAACAATAAATTTCACTCATTTAGCAAATGTGGTGTACTGTATGACTTCCTTATAAAATGCTAAGACCAGTTAAAATACTATACATGATCAATACAAAATTCAGCTTTGCATTTCCAAAAGACTCCAAATTTGCAATAGTGTACTGGTATACCTTATTGGAATCTCTATTTTTGTGAAGGAAATATCAAGTATTAAAACAATACATTCAAGCTTACATCATGCACAATAAACCAGGCTTATTGTAAAGAGCTATAGAAAAACAAATTTGAAAGGCAAAAAATTTAGAAGCAGCTGCAATACTTAATTTTGACAACGCCAAGAATCAATCCGTGTCCAAACTCAGTCTTTAAAAATATTAACTGTCCAGTGCACATAAAGAAATGTAAGTATGCCATTTTTTCTTCTCTTATAGAAGACCACATTAAAACAAACTTAGTTACTAAGTCAAAAAACAGGCACGAAATTTTAATCCAAATGTAAACATCTCTGGAAAACTCCAAAGTAATGAAAAATAAACCCAACAGGATAGGGTAAATACCCTGATACATCATAGAGACCTAAAAACAAAAAATCGTGCCTACATCATCAAATATTTAGCTGGAAATAGAAAACAGTAATATTGCTACTCGACATGGATTTAACTAATTAAGGGACCCAATTTGCTCTCATTTTCTGCAGGCATGCAGTGTCCAGAATTTTCCCTTAGTCGACTGCCTTCTCATTTGTAAACAACTTCTGGAGCTTTTTCTCTGGTGTTCAAACGGGAGGGAAAATGAAAGTCTTAAAAGCATCAGCATCTAAGCTTACGAATCTGAGCACGGAGTTACTGACAAGGGGAAAGCAGCTGATAAGGGAGACCATATGTATCACTTGGTTTAAAAAAAAAAGGTAGCCCTCAAATTAGAGAGGAAAGAATGCAGTTACCTAAAGAGGGCTCGTTAAGTAAAGCCAGTATTTAGTGAGACACGTTAAAAAACAAAAAAATAGAACACTTGTCTGGGGGATGGAAGTTATGGGGGCGCTCTTTGTGTGAAGTCTAAGTGGCAGGGGAAAGTCGAGAAAATAGCTCGGGAGTCATTCAAAGGAGTTAGAGCAGCGGTGTACAAGCGAAAGGCGGGGCGGGGCCGGCTCGGCCTGGCGGAGGGAGGGGGCGGCTGGGGAGTCAGCCCGCGGCTCTGACACGCAGAGAGGGGGGCAGTGAGCTGGCCGCTCTGTGGACCGGGAGAGAGCTGACTCGGGCTGCAAAGACGGGGTCCCTGTAGTAGGTAATTAAAGCAGTGGCAATCCAGGGCTCTAGGCGCCAGGGGGTCCACCTCCCGAAGGAAGCGGCTCCCGAGTGACATCCCCAAGTTTCCGCACTTAGCGGGGCGCGGTGGCCGCGAGGCTTCCACCGGCCCGACCCCACGCCAGACTTTTCCCCTCTCTTCCGCCAGCGCTTTGCACCCAGGTTGCGGCCCTTACCTGGAACTCAGTGAGCAGTATCTCCCCCTGTTCAGGGTTGGACGCCATTGCACTCAGCTCTGGACTCCGCACCTGGATGCCACCGCCGCCGCTGGAGAAGGGAGAAGGCAGGATGGGACCCGGGGAGGGGGGTGAGGAGCGGGGAGAGAAAGAAAAAAAACAAAACAAAACTAGGGATTCATGGAGGCGCAGCTCCTGCTGGAGGCGAGGCTTATTTCGCCCGGTTCATGGAGAGCAGCGGGGAGCGCGGGCACTCGTAGCGGACTCCCCCTCGCCGCCCGCCCACCACCGGGCGCTGGACTCTGCTCGCTCAGTCGCTCCCTTAGGGCGACGCCAGGAGCCGCCTCAAGTCTCTCCGGGGGCAGAGCGACTGCGGGTGGAAACTCCTCCTGTCGCACCAATTGGCTGTCACTACGTCGCAAAAGCGGCCTCACTTGGCGGCTGCCAGAACACGTGACCGCAGCCTCCCACCGGGCGGGAAAGGTGGGGCGGAGGGGACTCTTCGTGGGGCGGAGGGGACCCTTCGTGGGGCGGAGCGCATTTCCACCCAGTTCCTTGGTGGGCGCAGTCATTGGACCCTGACGGGGTGAAAATGAGGGGAAGGAGTGGAGTCGAGTCTCCGAAGGCGGGAAGAGGAAGAAAACACGCCCACTCTCGGGTTTGGTTTAACGGCCCCACTGTGAACGCTGGAACTCGGAAGCCTGCTTGCAATTCTTTATTTGTTTTTTCCCCCAGACCACTTACTCTTTTCTTCCCGAAGTTTTAGACCTAACGTAAACTGTTCCCATTTTAACCTCCACCCCCTAAAAAGTTTCGGAACTCAGACTTTACGGATTATTTCCTTCCACCCCGCCCCCCATCACCCAAGCTATTAATCTTGCCTTTTGTTCCCTCCCACCCCCAGCGAGCCTTTCGGACCAGTAAGGTGCACTGGGCTCAACTTGGGTGTGGCCTGTCCTTATTAAGAAATGTAAGCGACTGGCAGTCCCCGACAACTTTTAACGCACAGCCTTTGAGAGATACCTATTCTCAAGCGCTGAAGTATGGTTTTGTCTGTGAACTACACAGAGTTTAGAATTTAATTAGCTGGCTTCTTGAATTGTTTTAACTGAATTTAAACTGAGGGACATGGGGCGGGATCAGCCCCGCGAATGGAAAAAAAGCCAACTTCCCTTGGTGTAAACATCCAAGATAGCCTATCAGTAACATAGAGCTTAATAGTGTAAATTGAGGTTTAAAAATGACTGTATGCATAGTATTCAGGGATGCCAATAAAGTCTCCAAAGGTAGCTTTTGTTTTGTGTGAGCAGTGAATGGATATTCTAGGCAATTGCCTACCTTTAGTTTGAGATTGAAATACAATGGCTTTGTTAAAAGCTGCTTGGAGAAAAGTGGTAGGAATTATTTAGTTAGCTACTTGAATAATGGCTTGGTTGGCATACTTCTTAGGTACATATATCATTATGTACTTGTCTCACACTCCATGTAAGTTGTTATTGGACTGATGCTGGGATGTAATGTTTATCTTTTTGTCTTCTCAAGTCTCATGACAAACATTTGTTGAAAGTCTAGAGTTCTGTAGCCACATTTTCTGAACTCCAACTCATGATATGTGATAAAGAACTTTTTTAGTGTGTATTTCAGAAGAATTAGAGCTTTTTCTATGCATTGCCTTGGTTGAAAGTGGTAATTAAAATATATGAAATAACAATACTCCGAAAAGCCAGGTTATAAAATGCCCTCCCTGGTAACTAAAAGTCAGACAGTGAGCATTCTAGGCCCTGGAGGTAACAGCTAGGATTACGCAAGAATTCTTGTCCCTGGAGTGACTAATTCCTTTAGATGGAGGAACAGACTGGTGTCTAAACCACTATAATTCAATTTTAAAAGGTAGGCATGAAATGTTAGGGGAGTACTTCATTTAGATAAATACACATATATTTTCTGTGTTACAAAATATACATAACAAAACTTACCATGTTAGCAATTATAAGGGTATACAGTTCAGTGGCATTAAATGTTTGCAGATGTATTTTGCTTATTTTTGTCTTGCCTTATTTTAGAGTAGATTTGATATGGCTGACATGCACATATTAGATGCTTAACAATGATGAAATTTAAAATTACCTATTTTAGGACTTAGAAATACAGTCAATGAGCATTCTTTTTAAAAAATAAATTTAGATATAAGATAGAAAACTTTCACATTTTTAGCACCATGGAAATTTAGAGCTAGAAAGACTTAGAATGCCTAGCCTAATTCTTATTATAAGAAGGAAAAAAAGACAAAATTTAGTTACTCATTAGGAGCATGGCAACTCAGTGGCAGAAGTGAAGCCTAGAACCTGACTCTCCTAATCTAGTTGCAAGTCCTGGGCTTAACCTATACCACGCTACTATAGTCCTTTAAAATAGAATCTTTGCCCTGGCTGGTATATTTCTGTGGCTTGGGCATCATCCTACAGACCAAAATGTCATCGGTTTGATCCCTGGTCAGGGCATGTGCATAGGTTGTGGGCCAGGTACTCACTTGGGGTGTGGGAGAGGCAACCAATCAGAGTTTCTCTTCCTTTCTCCCTCTAAAAATAAATAAATAAAATCTTAAAAAAAGTAGAATCATTTAAACTGAACTCAAAGCATTATATAGCCCCTTGAAAGTTTCACCATAGAAAAAGACTTCAAACTACATATTTTTATGGCTAAAACAAGTATTGATAATTTTACTTTCATATGTCACACATGAATGTAAACAACAAACCCAAAAGTAGTACAATACAAAAGAGAGAACAAGACAAAATAAAAACTGATAATCTGCAAAATGTAATAGTTTAAACAGTAAACTAATTTAAGCTAAAAATTACTACCCATCTCATAGTCTGTTCAATGCTGGGGGGTGGGGTGGAGAAATAATAGTATGTGCAACAAAGTAATCAGAATGAAGCACACTACAAGAAGTTTAATGGAAACCCATACTGTGTTGATTTAGATGAGTTGTATTCAGTCCCTATTTGCAAATGATTTTAGGGAGTCCTAAGTATAGCTCACCTGAAGTTATGTTCTAATTTATATTACCACACATAATAACGTAAAAATAGTTATGTAGATACATTTAAACATTTTCCATTGTGATTTTCAACATCTTTAGAAATCACCAAACAGAAATAGTTTCAATAGGCTTTAAAATGCAAGCTCCAACCTGTACCACATTCTCTAGGGTCTTGAGTAAATTATATTTATCATGTCAGTTAAAAAAAAAAAAGAGAGAGAGACTAACTTCTTTCACACTCCTAGAAAATTTTCCCACACTAAAACAACTGTACTCTTAGAATGTTCCTTATCAGCTTGAGCTTTCTAGAACCCAGCCACCATACCGTAAGAAGCTGAAGCCTCATGGAAAGGCCATACGCTGGTGTTCTCGTCAATAATACCAGCTAGCCCAGCCTTCAGATCGTCCCAGCCCAGGCACCAGGCGAGTTAGTGAAGATATCATCTTGGTAATAGATCTAGTCTCAGCTATTCCAGTCCCCATCCATTCAAGTCACCAGCAGTTGAATTCATCTCATTAGAGGCCACAGACATCTTGGAAAGAGACAAACAACCCCCTACATGCACTAACCAGATTCCCACACTATTCAGTTTGTGAGCATAATAAAATGGTTTGTTTGTTTTAAAGGTGGGGGAACAGTAGATATTCATAATAATAGGTAACTGGAACATACATTCCAAGCTGGATATTTTATTTAATTTATTTATTTTTAGAGAGAGGGGAAGGGAGAGAGAAAGAGAAGAAGGGAAACATTAATGTGTGGTTGCCTCTTACATGCCTTCTGCTGGGGACCTGGACCATAACCCAGGAATGTGCTCTGATGGGAATCGAACTACCGACCCTTTGGTTCACAGGCAGGCACTCAATCCAATCCACTGAGCCTCACCAGCCAGGGTCCAAGCTGAATATTTGGATAGGCCCTCTTCTCGAACTTGCAATTGATAGAATTCTTCTGTAATAGTTCATTTAAATTCTCTAAATGGATCAATTACAAAGTTTACCCTTTATAATCATTCACTTCATGAGGAAAAGAATATCATATTTCTGTAATCTTCACAGAATCTAGTATGCATTAATGGGCAAAAGTAGGTTTATAGTTTGTATGAAAAAATATGTAATACAAGAATAAATAATAATACAAGAATAAACTGTTTGCTTACTTCCCACTGTAAAACTACTTTTGCCCACCCCTGTATATATAAAACTCATTATGAAAGTACATGATAAGAACTTGATTGGTAGTTTTTTTATTTTTACTAAAGGTATATATACAACCATTTTTCATGTTCAAATAACTTATTAAGGTACGGCTGAAAAGACGTGCATGCTCTAATTTACAATAACTGCTAGTTAAAAGCACTTCTAAAAACAACTTTATGTCACATTATAAAGATCCTTATGAAGGGTTTCCTATTAGAGATACTATTTTAGAAAAGACTATTACAGCCATTTACATATTTATTTTTATGTGCTGGTGATTCACATGATCTGTGTATTGCTTTTACAGTTTTACTGTAAGACTTTCACCAAATGAAATTTTATTTTTAAAGTATCTTATCACCACACACACACATATGCAAACAGTTTGAATGCTGTATAAGGTCCACATTTCAATTGCTTTCCTGTGTTGTCTATTACAACTTGAGCTTCCTAAAGTTCTCCTTTACTAGAACGAAATGTGCTTGATTCAAATACCATGCTTCAGCCGCCTTAATCTGATTAAGATAAACTCTCAGCAAGATACAGGCAAGAAACTATAGTTCAGACTGTGCTATCCTGCTGAACATTTCTGAAGCAATTCAGACAGCTTTGACTTATTTGCAAACAATGTGGACATTTATTTAATCTATGTACTTGAATTTGGGGCTGCAAAGAAGATATTTGAGAGTTTTCTCATTAGTTCATTTGCCCATGGAAAATACTTAGTATTTTTTACTAAGAATGGAAAACTAAGAACTATTTATATTAAAATAAAGAATGAAAGTGACTGACCTTATAAAATGAGTTTTATTAAAATATGTAGTATGGTAGATATGATATTATATCATCTACTGTAAGTATAAACCGTATTTGAAGGGCTTTTACTCAAAAGAACATGACATACTTTTAATTCTCTTTCAGGATATATTTGGTCTAGTATAAATTCTTCATAGATATTGGTAAATGACTTGCCTTTATCAACATCCATTTTTCACTGTTTTCTTATGCTGATAAAATATGTATTTGGAGTAAATAATTATTCACCTAAGAAATGCATTCCTACCTGACTTGAAACACAATTCAAAAAATTCTTTCTACTGAGACAGTTAATCAAATGTTACATTAGTCAACTATATG